CTTACTTTTAAAGCCAATACACAATGTTGATCAAGAATCAGAATTGAATTTTCACTTTTATTTATTTTTGTATGTTTATGTGAGTGTGTATGGGTGTATACCATGGCTCACATGTGGAGAGCAGAGAACAACCTCCTGAAGTAGGTTCTCTCTCTCCAACTCAGATCACCAACCCTGGCAGCAGACACCCTGACCACTGGGCCACCTTGCCAGTCCTGGAAGACTTTTTTTAAATTTTCAGGTAGAATTTTAAGGACCAGGGAGAGAGCTCAGTGGGTGAAATACTTGCCGTGCAAGCATGAGGACCTAAGTTGAATTCCCAGAACCAATATAAAAAAGCCAGGCATGGTGGCACAGATCACATGAGGTGGTCACAAATCCCACAAAGAAAATGGCTGTCCCACAGAGAAGTAATTAATAGTTGTATTTATTGAGAAGTTCACAGACTAAGGAAGCACAAGAACTGAGGGTTGGCCTGAGCCTACTGTTAACTACTTGTGGACTTTTGAAAAATCATTTATCTGTTCAGTACTTTGGTTTCTGTTCTACAGAACTGGTCTGTGTCACAATTAAGCTTTCTTGCTCTACAACCGATTTTCTAGTGTTCAACAACTGGAGGTATATCCCCCAAGCCATTCTCTGGGCAAACAAAATCCCCCTGGTCTTTGGACCGGGCTCCATATATTCATATAGCAACCTAAATGACAAGCATGTGTCAAAATAAGAGTAAGAACACAAGGATTGACAGCCCTTTGTGAACCGCATTCTTATCCTCAACGCTCAGCAACGGGGCTTAGAGAGCTAAGCACCCTGATGCAATAATAACTCAGTTCACCAAACAAGGCCAAACTGTAGTTTCCAGGAAACAGAAGCAGGAAGGAATGTGTGAACATGTAGGAGCAACGATGAAAAAAAAAAAAAAAAAAAAAAAAAAAAAAAAAAAAAAAAAAAAAAAAAAAAAAAAAAAAAACCAGATGAGACACAATAGAGACCTGAAAAGTGTGGTCGACACTTTTGAAATGGTTGGGACTGTGAAGAGCTTTCCTCAATGCTAACAAGCCACTGCCCATTGTGCCATTAAAGGGCTCACTGAGGTAAGGGTGGACTGCTGATTCTTTTAAAAATTTGAAACCTAAAATTGAAAGCTGTGAAAGGTGGGATTGCCACACTACTTCTCTAAGGGCATTTTTACCTCAGTCGAGAACTTAAAGACGTTCTTTTCTAAATAAAATAAAATAATCCTTACTATCAAAATGGAACACTCGCTACCTCAGAAAAATTAGATAAAACAAATTGTTGTTACTTTTTAAATTATCAGAAGTCCATCATTAAATCAATGGGTTAAAATATCTCTAAATGATGCAATGAAATTATAGGATGCCCTAAATTTTGACTCCTCTTCCTTTAGAAGAAAAGGGGAAATCAATGGGAAGCAGAAAATTATCTAATAAAGGTAAGCTATCCCTATCATATATTTCACACTGATGTGTATATACATGTGACATACATCACACAGAGATGGTAACATCTACCCTCAACTTTGACTTTTATGTTTTCTATCAACATTTCCATAAAGCCCTATATTGCTGGGGCCCATGTAGTCATTATTTTTATTGTCCTGCCATAATCTTAACTGGGCTCATAGTGTGTAAATTACTTTAGCATTCATTAACTCGAGAGCACTTATAATGTGTCCTATTCTATTTGGCTTGGTTTTCCTTGGACATTATTACTTTGGAAATATTTCTAAAAGTGAGATTATATGGGCAAAAATATAAATAATGTCACAGTCACTGTTGTATTTATTAGTCAATTGTTTTCTGAGGGGGAAAAAAGCAAATTAAAAGCTACCAATATGTTCAAATATTACTGCTCCCCAACTTATACCATCCTCACTCACACACAAACATATTGATAGCCTCAATGGTCTAACAGGTGTGTGAATGTGAATCTGAGTTACCAGTAGGACTAAATCTCATTTGTTGTAGTGACTCTGTCTCTAAATGCTGAAAGATCACTGAGCAGACAAGAGACAATAAACAGCAATAAATTCTCATATTCATAAACGTTAATGCTTTTTACAAATACAACACCTGTATATTTTGAAGGGGAAGATATAGAAAAAACAAAACAAAACATAAAATTCACCTGTAGTCCCATTATTCTCTCCCGTTTAGCACGCCACATAAAGTGTATTTCCTTTCTTCACCTGCCCGTCATCCTAGCCTCACTAAAAAGCATCACTGCTAGTGTGTGGCACACGTGGATCCAGGATTTCTCCTTGACTTCTCAATACAAATAGAGTCACAACCATCACTGATTCATGCGATGACATCTTTCTCCTTATGTATCTATACACCTTCTTTTCAGTTTGGGGAGATCCAGCTCAAACATTTGACAGTCGCATGGCATTCTATGCTGTTATACAGAATAAGTTCTGAAACTAGGAAAAGAAGTGCAGTGGGATCCCAAGCTGATATCTGAAGCACACAGATTGCATCCATTTTCCCTCTGGTTATGAAATCAGAGGTATCATCAACTCCCTGCCCCTCTGACCCCCCATTGCAATTATCCAAGCTTGCCTCACCCTGTTTCACCCATTGTCTCCATTTTTTTCTTTTTTTGGAAGGCTGTCAGAGAGACCTCCAATCCTTGCCGATGGGCTTCAGGTGGGCCATTGCTCACCAGCGCACTCTTCTAGTCCTCACAGGCCCAATCCTGTCCTATCTCCTCTTCCCTCTGATCTAGTGTACACAGGAACCTTTCTCCCCCATCTTCATTTCCAAGCCTGCTTTTCTTGGTCCACAATTCCTTTCATCCTGAGTCAGGAGAATGATATCATGGGTCCTCTGCATGATTACCTGCCCCCGCTCCAGCTTCCGTTTCACTGTCTGTACTCCATCCTCCTCCTCTAGAAACAAGCTCACACAAATACCGTATTACTGAGTTGCACAGTCCTATCCCCAGAGCAGAGCAACTGCCATCATCCTAAGACTGATTCGTCTGCTCACAAAAGATCATAACTGAGCTTGCTGACTTGTTATTCCCTCATTTTCCCTGCCAGTTGTACCAGAATCTCCTGTGACCTTGTGGCCTGGGAAAGAGCTAACTTGTGTAAGCTGGGGAAGGCTTGCATCCATGCAGCCACATGAAGCCATCATTCATGGTGGTGTAGTCCTTCTAGCAGAGCTACTCTAAGCTCACCCATATTCCTGCCCATAACCCTTCATTCATGATGTGTAAGCATGCCTAATAAACTCATTGGTCCCAGGGTGAACTCTGGTGGAGTCAAACTTTAGGTTGTCATTAGGACCTAAGGTACAAGGGGCAGACACTGTTCACATCTCCCCCTGGGGAAAATTCTCACAATATACTAACATCACAAAGTAGAGATTCAAGCCCAGGCAGTCTGCCTTATAATCGTGGTACCCACAACAGACACTTGCATTACAGGACTATAACTCTGGTTCATTATAAAGCATGGGGCAGGAGGTTGGTTAGAAGACAAGGTGAGACAAAATACCCCCAAAACAATAGAAATCAACTTTCTGCATGAAGAAAAAAAACAAGAGTGAGTGTCCCAGAGACTGTTTGTCATTTGTATGGCAAATAACAGAGAGATTGTCTGGGGAGGCTGTTCCATGTAGCTGCTTTATGGTCCCTATGTGAATATTCAATTCAATATCAAGTATTCGGAATTCAACTTCACTGTGATGTTTTCTTCCCATATGTCCTAACAGCTATCTTTCTCCACAGGTACCAACAGGGCCACACATGCGTAGCCACCTACAGAATAGTTGGATCCCACTCTCTCAGCTAACACTGACCAAGACAGATGTGCATCAGCAGCTATTGGGAGCCACCCAGAGCACAGAACGAAGCTCACAAGCCAGACTTGGGAGCCAGGTGTCTCCAGGAGTAGCTATCAGGACTCCTGTACTGTGTTTAGCTCTTTCTTTCCCAACCCTAAGACTGGCTGTGGGTTTGATCCTCAACTCACCAATTCTGTGGCCATACATCATACCTCTTTTTCCCAAATCAGTGATTTCTGAATTATTCTAATGGCATAATGTGTGCATGTAGTATGTGTGTACACGCACCTGTGCATGAATGTGTGTGAGTGAGGGTAGGTGCCACAGCACAAGTGTGGAGGTCAGAAGAAAATTTTCCAGAGTTGGTTCTCTCCTTCCACAGTGATTTCCAGGATTCAAATTCAAGGCATGAGGCTTAAGCAGCCAGTGATCTTGGATGGATACCCCATTACAGGGTCAAGATAAGAAAAACAAAGCAGGATAAAAGCAGCTCCCAGAAACAACCTTCAGAGGCTGTCCCTCTTGCTCTCTCTGCTTCCTGACTTCAGGCACAGTGTGACCGGCAGCGCTGCCGCTGCCGCTACCACAGTTAGTGGCTAAAGCCACACTCACAGCCACACCTTCCCTGCCATGATGTAATGTGCCCTCAAACTGTTAACCAAAAGAGCCCTTCCTGCCTTAAAAACAACCTCCAAGCCCAGCCTGGGCTACACAGTGAATCTCTAGCTCCAAAAAAAAATTTTTTTTTAAATCTGTCATCAATAATAATAAAGCTTTAAATAAAAAGCAAGAAAATGTGTAGTAGACTTAAAATTATTTATACTGTATTAAAACAAAAAAATGTGTTTATTGTAAACAAAAGGTAGGAAGATTTAAGCATTAAAGCTAATGGGAGTTTTTTTTTTAACTAAATATTTTCCACAATAAAGGAATATGTGTGCTCCTGTGAGGCACGGACCATTAAATGCATCACGACTCTGAGTTCAGATAGTATTTTACAGATTATAGTATATAAATTACATAAATTATTGTATCATACTATCATCTTAAATCCTATGAATCGTATTTTTCGATTTCATTCAGACTGGCAAGTTCTCATGCCCAATTCAACACATGAAAACAATCTAACTGAATGGTCTGTAGTACAATGAATGGCTACAGTTAGACTTTAAGTGAGAAAGACCGCACCTGCTCATTGATGTCCCTAAGCTTCCCATCGATGGCTCTCAGCCGAGACTGCTGGTCCCTTTGCTCCTTGCTGTCCCGGAGTATCTGTTCCCCTGGAGTTGGTTCCATATCTCTTTCTTCATCGGAGTCAGGTTCCTAATTTAAAAGTAAAAGAATTCACCCGAGGGCCAGTTAAGGCACAGCCGCAGACCCTCCAGTGTGACTGAGACTTGAGGGTCAACTGTGTTGCTCAGTGTCTCTTCCCTTCAACCAGTGTTCAGAATCCTTTTTCAGTTTTCTCATTTGGGGAATTAAAAGTCCAAACACACGCAAACAAACGGGGAGATAAACTCCGTCTGGCATCATCTGAAAAGCACAAAGGTACAGCTGGGTAGGAGCCTGAGTCCTGCTCGCAGTTTCTCTGGGCTTCAAGTGTCACATACAGTTCTTTTTATTTCTTTCTTTAATCTCTTTGATTGTTTATAAATACATCTGTACAACAAAATACGATCATATCCACTCCCCATTCCCACCTCCAGCTCCCCCTGGATCTCCCTCCCCCAACATGCCCATCTCCCAGTTTCATGTCCTCTCCTCTTTTAGGAAAATAGCCCACTCCATCTGTTTAGTGCTGTCCATATGTGCACTGCTGTGGGACCGTCCCCAATGAAGCATGTGCAATCTACCAGTGGCCACACCACCAAAGAAAAATGGTTCTACTGCCCCCAGTGGCTATCGATTGCCAATAACCCCTCGGTTAGGAGCTGGGCCTCGTGAGTTCTTCCACCATCAGTACCAGAACAGTGACTGCTTGAGATTGGGCATGTAACCACATCCATGTCATTAGAGGCAGGAGTATAGTAATGGGAAGGAAATGGACTTGGCAATATCAGAAGCTTTGAATCTTGGTTCTGCCTGGCTCCAGACTAAGACGACATTACCAAAATAGATCGGCTGTTCTGAGCTCCAGTCTAACCACCTGATGAGACCTGGCCAAAAGTCATCTCAGCACATATAAGGCACTCAGCAAATCTTGGTACCCAACAAGCTGGATGTGTCCTCTGAATACAGGAAGCACTATACAAAGGAAGCACGTCCTGACTGCTTCGTGGCTGCCAAGAACATTGACAGAAGCAGAGTTGCACAACATTTCTGGGTGACTCGGAAGTGCACACTTTTTGATGGTATGTTGATTCTGTATCTAAACCTGAATGTCCTCTCTTCTCTCCCACAGACATCCTTCTCCAGGCTGCCACACAAGAAATGGGCATGAGAGACATCTCTGGTCGTTTTCAAGGAAATAGGATCCCACTGTTTTTATTCTCTACCCATACCTGGACACCAACAGTACTGAACATTCTAGTTTATGGTGTCTCCCTGATCAAAGCCTGATCAAAGCCTTTGTGCTGCCTGAATTCAGACCATTCACCAGCAATTTTCAAACTCCAGCTTGATTCAGCATCATCTGTGTGAAGGCCAACCACCACCGGGGAGACCTCTGGCTCAAAGGCGATGACTAGCAAACTGAGCACTTGAAATACAACTGTCTGTAGATTTAAGAATTACTTTCTCAGTTGCTGTTTAAGTCTGCTAAACAGCTGTTTAAGTCTACTAAACAGTCCCAATGCAGCCAGCCACCCCATGTACTTCCTCCTCTGCAGAAAAGCAATGCAGCTAGGTGCGAGGTATATACCGCCTGGGCAGCCTCACCTGCCATCATCGGGGTCTTAGATTCAAACGCCAGCCATGCTTTTAGCTACTAATTCCCCAACACCCCAGGCACCCACCCTCCAAATCCCTTCAGAGACTGACTCATTTGAATCTGGCTTGAGCATATCTCCACCTTGAAGTTCTCCGACGTACCTAGAAAGGAAAACCTATCCAATATATCCATCTTACTGTTCATATGGTCACTTGTTCCTTCCTTGCACACACCACACATCACTGCCTAAACAGAAGCATGACTGACCTTGCTATGGCCCAATACAAACTGTACCCCTCTAAACCTGCACAAGTATTGACCAATAAACTCTAATTTCAGTTCTCAGAACTTTGATGACAATTAATGTCTGATCATGCTCATAATGAGTGTCAGCACAACACACCTTAGGTAAGATTCTCCTGACAGTGGAGAGTTTCCTAGGTGTGTGAAAATGCTTGCCACACAAGCCTAAGGACCTGAGTTCGGATCCCCAGAACCCGTGGAAAAGCTGGACACAGCGGCACAAGCATCTGAAACCCAAGCTGGCTATGCTTTCTGTTTCTGCCTGGGGAGGGGGTCAGTAGCCATCTTTGCACAGGAATAAATTGGAAGAAAGTTTAACAGTAATTAAGTTGATAATTTGAAAAAAAACTTGATTCAATATTGGGAGTATAGATCAGTGATAGAACACTAGCATGCATGAAGCCCTACATTCAGGATGTGTGTGTGTGTATGTGTGTGTGTGTGCATATATGTGTGTGTGTGTGTGTGTGTGTGTGTTTATGTGTGTGAGCATGTGTGTGTCTGTGTGTGTCTTTGTATGTGTGTGCATGTGAGTGTGTGCATGTGTGTGTGTGTCTCTGTGTGTATATACATTGTGTGCGTGTCTGTGTGTGTCTCTGTGTGTGTGTGTGCATGTGTGTGTGTCTATGTGTGTGAGCATGTGTGTGTCTGTGTGTGTCTTTGTATGTGTGTGCATGTGTGTGTGTGCATGTGTGTGTGTCTCTGTGTATATGTGCTTTGTGTGCGTGTCTGTGTGTGTATGTGTCTGTGTGTGTGTGTATGCATGTGTGTGTGTCTGTGTGTTTGTGTGTATTCCAATGTTCTTAGTTTTTGTGGTTCTTGAATTTCCTACAGTAAATATACTAATTTCATAAGCAGGGAGGTCATATTTTTTTTTTTATTTTTAAGCAAGCATGGAATTTGGCCAACCCTATTTCTGTTCTGCTCTGACAGAGAATATACTCTCCACATTCACAAAGTGCAGGCCTAGAGGTTAAGTCTCTGGTCTAGCTCTGCTAGAACCATCAGTTGTGCAACTAGGATGCCTTGTCCTCTTCCCAGGTCTCAATGTCTACTGCCTCATCTGCAATTCTCTGCACTTGGACTTGGAGGGTATGTGAGATTTTTCCTTGGTTTCTTAGTCGTGCTCTCTGACAGCATAACAATCTAGTTCAAGTACCTGAAGAACCATGTAATGAAAACAGGCCAAGAAGGAACAATTAAAAAAGAAAGCTGATGGTACTGTCAAGTGACTGCTACAGACTGAGCCAGCACCTGGTGCCGGGAGTTCTTTTCTGATGGCAAACACCAGCCAGAACTGTCTCACAGTCTTAGAATTAGCAGATTGTTTCTGTGGGTCTGGGTCAGTCAGGAGGGGTTCTATGGAGAAATCTGCCAAGGCCCTCAGTGATGTACTCAGAGCATCTATTGGCACCACAAGGAGAGGATTAACCCTGAGGTAAATTGTTATTTGATATTCTGACTAACGGATTGCCAAGAGATTCTGAGTTTACCCTTTTAAAAATATCTGTGATGTTAGCTGAGCCAACAGAGACCTTTGAAGCTAAATAAACTCATTTTTCATAAGTCAAACACAAAGGAAATTACTCAGAGCTCACTAAGTTATTTGATATTCAAAGAAGCCATACGTTAAGGACACAGACCTGCGTGGGTAAAGCCAGCCTGCCCTGCATGTCCAGACTCACTCTCCACATGTCTACAAGCCACTCCTATTTCTTGTCTTGCAAAGGTCAACTGCCTAAATGTAGTGGGGAAATCTTTCACACAGACGGTTTTTATCATCTTGGAATGTTGCCATTGAAATGAAAGAAACCTTGCCGGAATCAGAGGCGTCATGAGAAAAACAAAAATGAAACAATCTACAAAAATGGGGGGCAAGAGCTATTTCCCAGACCTAAATGAGAATTCTGACAGCCTGGCTCTGGAGGCAAGGAACATTGAGTTAAGATCTTGTTTTTTATTCTGTGCTAACACGGATGCTCCAAAGACACGCCATAAAGGCAGGCCTTGCAACTAGGGTAGACTGAGTGGTAACTGGATTCCTGCTCTGAAACCACGCTCTAAATCCAAGGGAAATGAACTTGGCAATATACATTTTTTCAGGATTACAAGTCAATTGCTCTTAAATTTCAGCTAGTGTTGAGAAAGAAACAAACAAACCAAACTCATTTTCTTACTGTCAGCAGTTAATGTGATTTTTGGCTAGAAAAGAGATGAATATAAATACAATGTTCTTCCTTCAAATAGTTAAGGGTTTGGGGTTTGGGTTTGTTTGTTTGTTTGTATATTTGTTTTTGTATCACCAAACTGTGTGTGTGATGGAATATTCTAAACACAGGACAGTAAATCAGGTTAAGGAGGGTCATTAGATTTGATTAAGTTGGTTCGAGAACAAAGAAATACCTCTTGTCAGTAAAAGACATTTCTGAAGACTCTCCTTTGACCAGGAAAAAAAAAACCTCTAACCATGAAGTGGAATTCTAGATTCGGTAAGACTGATTGCATGAGAGATGAATAAACTCTATGTCTTTACAGGAGCCAAGAAGAATAGCATTTATTATTGAATCCAGTTGCTGAGGATTTAAGAAACTGAATGTCACATAACTCCCATATCATAGATATTTCTGAAGAAAGTTGGAATCTAGTCTATGTACAAAGGAGAAAAACAAAATTATATGCTATCACTCAACTTTACAGGTCGATTTCCAATATGGAGAAAGAACTGCCTGGCTTGTTGGCAAGTCAGGAGATTGGTCATCACAGGTATGCACAGTTAATGCACAGATCTCATGAATTAAAACTGCTTCCATTGGTTCTCTCTGGCTCCCATAAGATGAGAATTAAAAGCACATGAGAAAACCGCAACCACAAAATTGTTCATATTACAGCAGCCATGATAGAACATGCTTTGTTTTAAATGTGGTCACATGCTTTGTTTTCCCAGAGGAAAAAAAACAAATGCTACTTAATTTTTTTTCCATAGTTGTGGCAGAAGAGATGGCTCAGTGGTTAACAACACTGGCTGCTCTTCCAGAGGTCCTGAGTTCAATTCCCAGAAACCACATGGTGGCTGACAGCCATCGATAGTGGGATCTGATGCCTTCTTCCTCTAGTATAAAGGCACACATGCAGACAGAGCACCCATACATAAAATAAATAAATCTTTAAAAAATCATTTTTGCCATAGTTAAGAGCACCAGGTATGTGATTAGTGTAAGAAGAGTCACAACCAGCAAACTTCCATGGGCAAAAAGAGGTAATGTTCCCCCTCCCTTTTGCACTGACCAGAGGTTTGGTAATCTCTGCAATCCTTTCTAGAAACCTTCAAAGTGTTCGCGATAGGTTTCCATGCCTACTAACTTGACATCACAAAGTAGCTACAAAAAGCTATGTCAGGGAGCCTGTGTGTTTCAGCTTGTCCAGAAAACCATTTTCTTGACAACATGGCACAGAATGGTGAGTGGGCAGCAAAGTGAAGAGCCAAAGAAAACAGCAGCTGCTACCCAGCTCAGTCTAGTCCACTAGCTGACACCAAGGAGTCAGGCAAAGTGTTGCCACATTTTCTAATTTTTCAAAGATTAGAACACTAGAAATTAGCATTTTCATTTGAATTCACCTAAAATGTTCACTACAAACATTTGCAAACACTTTGTGGGCCAAAGGAAACCCATCTGTGAATGTATCTGGCCCCACAGCCACCAGTTCCAAACTTGTGCTATGCGGTGGCAGTCTTCTGTGGGTTTTTTGAGGTGGGTTCTGGGAATCAAACTTGGGTCTTCATGCTTTGGAAGCAGACACTTGAATGACCTCTTATTGTTTTTTATTTTTGTTAAGTGTATATATGTACACACACACACACACACACAGACATAATATATATATATATATATATATTCCTAAATACAATCTGCTTGGTCTGAATAATATTATTTAAAGCAAGGCTTTTATACTCCAGGGTCACCCATGTGCCTGACTTATCTTTAAGCCCCTATAGCTCCTAATATACAGTAAGCCCTAGTGTTTGTTGCATTATTTTGAAAGTAGAACTTTAGAGACAGGAGAGATGGTTCCACAGTTAAAAGTGTTTGCTGCTCTTGCAAAGCACTCAGTGGCTCACAACTGCCTGTAACTCCAGCTTCAAGGCTCTGACAGCCTCTACTGGCCTCTGCTAACACCTGCATGAATACACACACACACACACACACACACACACACACACACACACACACAGGAACACATGTCAACATGCACACATACACATACACACACAGGCACACAGGCACACACGTGTGCGCACACACACTTACACAAACAAGTCTTTAAGTAGGAATTTATATCCACTTAAAAGATATTCTTCTAACAGCTCATGAAGAAAAACTACTGATGAGCCTAACAGCCTGCAGAAGAATGAAAATAAGATGAATTCAAATGCTAAGTGCTTGTGTTCAACACCAGATTGGATCCCATTCACCAACTACACAGAAATAAAATGCTTATGCATTCTATTCAGTGAACTTATTCACAAGACCTCACAATCCAAAAATAATTACCATGAAATAATTTGCCAGGTTTGCATTTCCACTTGAAAGTTCTATGTGCGGTGCTGGTTTGGGCTAGAAGTTCAAGAGGAAACTGAATATACTCTAAATGACAGGTTGTTTTGCATAGATGAAGCATCAACTTCTTCTCAGCAACTATTACGCTTCTGGTCTGTTCCTGCATTTGGTGGAAATCCCAGGTACAGTTTTCTCTTTTCTTCTTAAAAAAAAAAAGTGGTGTTTCACATAAAATTACATGATCTTGGCCCACACCAGCACAGTTGTATATTGGTTTCTCCTTTTCATTGTGTTACAAAATAATGTATCAGAACCATAATGTGGGCTCTAGAAAAAAAATGTTATTTAGGTGATGATAGCAACATCTAAGAAATCATTATATATTTGAATTTCTAAATCCTGAACAAATCTCTAAATTCTCAGCCTCCTTGGAGAAGAATGGCTGACAGCTATGACAAGGACAGCTTCTGTCTCTAAGAACACTGTTGAGGCTTTAGATCATAGCCATCCTAGAACCCTATCAACAACAAAACGTCACTTGAAACATGAAAAGAAGAGAGGGAACCTCTAGGTTATTTTATCACTCATCTTAACTCTTATTGAGAATCAGAACAGAGCAAGACAAACAAAACACACTCTAGTAACTTCAGGGTAAATTCAATTGCAGTGAGTACACCAATCCTCTCTTTCTGTGAACTCTGACCCAATCCAGAAATTAGTGCTGGGAACAATACCATCACTGCTTCTGCCTCAATGGGGTCAGGAGTGACTCCCCCCTGGCCCTTAGAAACCTAACCTAGGAAAGCTGAAATAGCTTCCAAGGTGCTACTAGTTATTAAACTGTTTCTTCAGGACATCTTTACATGGTTTCTTTAGCTAAGGTAACTGTGGTGATATATATTATTTCTGAATCCTTGACTGAGGGTTCAGAAAGCAAGGTCAGCCTCAAGCTGTAGAGATCAGGCAGTGGTGATATATACTTTTAATCCCAGCAGCCAGAAGCAAAAAGGTGGTAGTACACACCTTTAATCCAAGGACTCAGGATTAAGATATAAAGGGATCTCTGTGAGTACAAGGTCACCCAGATCTACACAAGACTGAATCAGTCTAAAAGAGAATTACAACTCACACCTTTAACACCAGCACTAGAGGGGCATAAAAGAGAGGAGCAAGTATTCAGTAGAGGCATTGTTCTCCAGCCACACTGAGAAAAGGCCCCAGTTTGAGGCTTGGTGAAGAACTCGTGTATGGATCAACCCTTTCAGCCTGAGCTAGAAGTGAGAACTAGTGCCTGGCTGCTTTGCTTCCCTGATCTTCAGTTTGAACCCCAGTATCTGTCTCTAGGTCACTTATTTATTTGTGTTACAAGTAACTGTCATAAGCAATTAGTATCTTCTAGAATGGACTTACTTTCACTATAAGTTACTGATACTTAAAATTTTTGAGAGCACCCCCCCAAAAAAACACAACCATAGATAACTGTGTGAAAAATAGTTTGGTAAGCCTTTTACAAAGCTGGAAGAGAGACAGCAATATCACACACACACACACACACACACACACACACACACACTTTCTCTTCATACCACCACCGAAGCCCAAACTAGACCATGGGAACTGGAATGTGGAGGAGCAGGGAGGTAGCTCACTCTGTCAGAACTGCTCTTCTCTGTCCTCTACACTTTGTAGAAGAATTTTGGAGGCAGCCATTCACACCTATTTCAAAGCTATCAGAGGAGAGACATCATCGCAGTAAAGCTTCGTTATTGCTATTAAAGGAGTTGGAAGAAAATGACAGAGTAAGGGGCATGTTACTGGCTCTGCTCACATTCAGTACCAAAAGAACAGAGGAAAGAAAGGCTGTAAGGGACTAATGAGTACTGTTAACTTCTCTTCTTTCTTCCTAATCATGACCAAGAACTATCTTTAATCATAAAGATATGATAATATTAAAATAAGTAACTTCTCAATTGCCCCTGAAGGAACCAGCCCCCTGTTTTAGCAGCCATGACAGACTAACATGTACTTGCCTGACCTTGCCCCTCCTGTTCTACTTAGGAAGTCAGATAGCCTCATGGCAAGGAACCAATCAGAAGTTAGCTGGCGGGGCTGTGCTTTACAGCTCTGGGTGTGCTTTATGAACAAGTGCAAAACAGTGATGTGCAGAGCGTAGCAACCGTCCTAGGAGGGTCTATAGGCCATAACAACCAGTTGACCAATCAACACAGGACAGGTCATCCAAGCCCGGAAGCACACCAATACTGAAGCTGTTTCATACCCCTAGACACTCCCCTTATGCTATCAGATATATTCCCCACCTTGTGGTTTCTTGTGGTCTTTCTCCAACTATCCAGCGCAATGAATGGATGAAAGGCTGAGCTAATGGGGTTAGCTCACATTACAACTACAATAAAAGACTCTTTGCTTTTGCATCAAAATGGGTCTCTTGGTGATTTGGGGGTTTCAGAATTTGGACACAACACCCCTTCCCAGCAAATTCCCAATTGAAGACAAAAAGAGTAGAAAGTAGAAATAACCAAAAGAAAATACACACTGCTGGGGAAACTGAAATTTTTGCAATTGGACTCATAGAAGAACAATTGGGATGAAACCTCTTTAGTTGAGATTAAGAGTATGTGCAGTAGCCATGCATACATTAACCTCAACAATTTGCAAGCTCCTGAGTTAAACATATCATTTGGCCAGGCATGGTGGTGCACGCCTTTAGTTCCAACACTTGGGAGGCAGAAACAGGAAGGTCTCTGTGAGTTCGAGGCCAGCCTGTACTACAGAGCAAGTTCCAGGACAGCCAGGACTATATAGAGAGATCCTGTCTCAAATCCGCCTCCCCCCCCTCCAATAACAACAACAAAAAAGAAGCCATACCTTATTGCTCTGACTCTCAAGTCTTGGAGAGAGGCTGAAGACAGTTGGTGAGACCACAGAGAATTCCTGCAGTTTTGTATCAATCTGAGCCAGCTTCTGAGACTCAGTGGCTGCAAGGGTATAGCCTTCTCCAGGGTCCAGCCAACCACATGGTTCACCCTAAAAGGAAACCAAGGTGAACAGGTGATTACCGGCTACATTTGTTTCAAAACATACTTTTTAGATCTGTAGCTCATCCTCCAGATCTGATGCCCTCTGTTGGCCTCTGTGGGCACACACACATGACAGCATACATGCATCCACATAAATAAAGATAAAACTTTAAAAAAAAATGAGATCCATTTATAGCATTTGTTCAAAAGTGTCACAGTGAACGTTCATGGCACATCTGGCACAGGTGAGTCAATCTGAACAGGCACAAAGAGCTACATCCAGGACTTGTTAGACTCTTGCCTGCAAAAGTAGAACAAGGTGTGAAGAGCAGTGTTCAACTGTGGTTTCTGCACCCCAGAAAACTGACCTCAGGTTTATTACTATGTCATGTTATTTACAGAAAAAAAAACTGTAAAAAGCCTAAAAGTCTAAAAATACAAGGAAAGTAGTATTACCCAAATAGTTACAAATAAGTAACTGGTTGATTAATTTCCCAAATAAAATTGATATAAATACTGAATGATCTAAGTAATAGTTACCAAAACAAAAATTATAGAATTAATGACTAAATAGCAATTAATTTAAAACTCTTCCCTGAGTGAAATTATTTTTAATGAAGCTGGAGTTAAAGGAACTTATAGATGGAACCAACAGAAACTTTAATGTCCAGGCACCATGCAATTGCAGCAAGAAATTATATTAAATGGAAGGCTGTAAAAGACCCAGAGACTGATACTGGGTTCAAGCTCCAAGTTGAAGATAAGAAAATCAAAGCAGCCATGCCAGTAGGTCTTACCTCTACCAAGCTAAAATGGCAATCTTGTCCCCATGAATCCTTTGAGGCAAAAGGCTCTCAGATCCTGTCACCTCCTCCTTATATTTCTTTCTCCACCCAGCCATATCACTCCTGTCTCTACCTCCCTAGTGATGGGATTAAAGGCTTGTGATCCCCGGTGCTGAGATCACCTTTGTGTAAGCTGTTTAAGACTGGATCAATTTAGTATAGTCAGTGTGGCCTTGAATTAACAGAGATCTGTCTACCTCTTAATCCTGAGTCCTGGGATTGAAGATGTGTACCACCACTGCCTAGCTTCTATAGCTAACTAGGATGGCTGCTTTGCTATTTTGATCTCCCGTGACTTTAACAAATCATAAACAATGTATCACCACGGAAGGTAACACTGTCTGGTTCTTCTTGTCCAGCACCACCTAGACACTGGCACTGGAAGCTTAATCTTTCTGGCTTGCAGGTGCTTCACCCCCATGAGATAGAAACCAGAGACGATCTTCCCAGCCTCCTTTCCAGTTAGGGATCAAGCAAGTAACTTAGTAACCACCAGCCAGGCTCCTCCACTCACTATTATCAGACATAAGTAATCTGGGTCCCACTACAAAACCTGCTTTGCTACAAGGGCATCAGTCTGCAGCCTCCACACTCATGTATAGGGATGTATGCACACAGCACTTGTACACACATATTTACTGCATACACATATACATGATAGGGGATGTCCTTCTGTATATATGTTTCTCTTCTTGGTTGAGTAAAACACTGTTTGCCAATAGAGGCAGGAAGCTATGTGGAACTAGGAGACGAGGAGGATTCTGGGAAAGGCAGGCAGAGACCACAAGGAGATGCATGTAGGAGACCAGGAAGATAGGGCATGTCAGGCATTCTCTGGTAAGATAAGGCCATGTAGAAATACATAGGTTAGTAGTTATGGGTTAATAATTAAGCCAATTAAGAAGCCCTAGTCATCAGCCAACAGTTTAATAATTAATGTATGTCTCCATGTGCTTATTTGGGTCTGAAAGGGTGGCGGGACCTGGTGGGACAAGAAACTCCAACTACATATACACACAACTAAAAACAAGAATTCCTAAAGTATCAGAAATATATTGTTTCAAGGGTTAAAAACTTTTAACATTCTGAAACTAAACTTCAAATGATTCCAACATATCCTAGAGGAAAGTAAAGGGGGGAGGTGGGGAAGGGGGGGAGAAAATCAATCCTACAACAAATCTAGACTGGCCAAGATGTCTTAGCTGGGTTTTTACTGCTATGACAAAACACCATGACCAAAAATCAAGCTGGGGAGGAAAGGGTAAAATTCAGCTCACACTCCCACATAGGTGCTCATCACTGAAGGAAGTCAGGATGGAAACTCAAGCAGGGCAGGATCCTGGGGGCAGGAGCTGATGCAGAGGCCATGCAGGGAAGCTGCTTACGGCTTGCTCCCCCTGGCTTGCTCAGCCTTCTTTCTTATACCACCTAGGACCATTAGCCCAGAGACGGTACCACCCACAACGGGCTGGGCACTCCTACACTGATCACTAATTGAGAAAATACCTTACAGCTGGTCTCATGGAGACATTCCCTCAACTGAGGCTCCTTCCTCTTTAATGACTCTAGCTTGTGTCAAGTTGACACGCAAAACCAGCCAGTGCAAGGAACTACTTCTGAAGTTAGGGGATAATAACAATACCAGGTCAGAAATAGGACTGGATTCCCAAATAATGTGAGTGGGGGGGAAAGGTAGCGAATAAAACATCAAGTATGATCATTAAAATACATAATTTGAAGTCAGGAAACCTAAATATTATCAGTTGTCATTCTAAATAACAAAAAAGAGTTAAGAATAACAAAAATACTGTTTAAATTGATATTATACAGCTTAAAATTATGTGATGGATAAAACATAAATACTAACTAAGTCAATAAGCCAAAGCAATATTAATCCCAAAAATTTCACTGTCAGGGAGTAGCTTGACAAGCTTCAAGGTTAATTCAATAACTAAAAATGAAACCCAGGTATCTAATTCTGCTAAGTTTTGTTGATAAACTAAGACAATTACCATGATTAGCAAAGCTGAAGTAACCTCACCTCCATTCCTGCACCCAGCACCCACAGGGCCCTAGAGGCTGTCATCTGTGAGGCTCCAAGGTTTGCTTTGGATTTGGAGGAGGAGAAGAGCTATTATGTTTGTCCACACAGAATTTTTTCCAAAGAATTGAATGCTGACATTTAAAACACGTGTCCCATTTAAAAATCTGATTTTCTAGCTTCTCTCAAAAATTTGTTGGATCCTGGCAGCCAGGGAAGTTACAGAGCTGAGGCCTAGTGTTCATCTGATATACACCCTCCCCGTGCCCACAGCTGTCACTTCGCATGGACTGCTCCCCAACCTCCAGTAAACGATACCCTCTGCACCTCTACGTCCTGGTCTCCCACTTGGCTGCAGGCAATCTGACACACAGATAGCAGTTAAAGTGGGTGTAGCAGGGCCCAGAGCTCCAGGTCCTATCTAATCCTTATTCATCCCGGAAAATAAAAGTCAGACCAGAATGTCAAGTGCTTGAGGGTAACACAGGAGAGCACGTTACTCTGAGGAAATAATACTCTTTGAAAACATTAGGATTTTAAATGCAAAGACTATCCTCTAACTGGAAGATATAAATTTGTTTTAAGAGACCATAGCATAATAAAGATTAAGGGAGGTGAAGTCATTGACAAGTTAGCGTACCTCAGAACTGGACAGTCCTGCATCTGTATTGTCCAGACCTTTCAGGAGTTCATCCAGCCTTTTCTTCTCTCTGTCAATCATAAACACTGGGCTTCTGGAACTCTTGGCCAACTATGGAGTATATTAGTAAGAAATGTAAACATGTAGTGCAAAGTGTATTCCAGTAAAAAAAAATGAGAATTCTACAAAATAGATATATTAAGTTTTAAAATTTGAGAGGTTAGGCATTTTGATTTGTTACGTAATCCTTTTTTTTTTTTTTTTTTTTTTTTTTTTGTAAATCTTTTTTTTTTTTTTTTTATGCCAGGAATTGAAGCAGAGACCTGAAATGGAACCAGTCACTCACATGATGATAGACAGAAAGCAGAACAATGACCTTGGCTTCAGATCTCTGGTTCAGCAGTCACTGCAAAGACTGTTGTTGGCACACAGCCTTCACTTTGAGCACAGGTCCAGGATGAGGGAATGTAGATATGAATGACACTTCTCCCTCCTGCCTCTAATAGAGGCCAGAGTCCTCCCACAACTGGTTGCAGGCAGCAGGCAGGCAGGAGCTGCTCACTTCGCTCTCCCACCACAGCCAGGCTCACCCCCACAGCAGCAGCTAGGTAATCTTATTTTATGACAAATCTTTTATAAATGGCATTCTCCAAACAAATATTTCCAGTATATGCATCGCCCGCTCTCTCTCTCTCTCTCTCTCTCTCTCTCTCTCTCTCTCTCTGTGTGTGTGTGTGTGTGTGTGTGTGTGTGTGTGTGTGTGTTCTTGTATGCATTTGTTGGCTACAGCACATATGTAGAGGTCAGAAGACAACTTGAAGGGACCGTTCTTTCTTTTCACTGCGTGGGTACAGGAATAGAACTCAGGCTTGGGGCAAGCACCCTTTACCCACTGTGTCATCTCACTGGCTCCAGGCAGGCCTTCTTATTAACGATTACAAAAGTCATTTTTATATATTTTAAAAAAATGTTTCTGCTGCTTCCAAGCTTCTCTCCCCAGATATATAGCTATGGATGATAGACATATAGGTGTATTGGTGTAGAAGACATAGATATGCTGATGCAGAAGCAGAAAAACATTTGCCGAGACACCAAGAAGGACACTTGGCTACTTTCTAGTATGTGGTACTGTGTGCAGCCACTTAGTGAAACTGCTTTTAAATTTCTAGAATGCAGGGCTAGGCATACAGATCAGTTGGTAGGACTTGCCTCACACGCAAGAAGCCTTGGTTCAATCTCTGGCACCTCATAAAGCTGGGCACCATGGTGCATGTTTATAATCCCAGCACTTGGGGTGCTGAAGCAGAGGGATCAGAAGTTCAAGGTCATCCTCAACTACCCACCAAGTGTGAGGCCAGTGCAACCTACATGAGAACTTATCTCAAAAATTAATTTCTAGAATTAAATAAAGACTCAATTGCCATTGCTAAAAGGAGAGAAGGAGAATCTAAACTGGAGTTATTGTGTGTGACAGCAAGAACTCAGAAACAGAGAACTCCACTATTCCTGGAAAATGAAACAGTGTAAGACCCAATGGGCCAGCAGAGACAAGAGCAGATGAAATTGGAGACGGCTCCCTGAAGTCACACAGAAGACTGAGAATGGCAGAGGCCGGCCTCACAGTGGCAGACTGACTCGGGGACCAAACTGCCTGGAATGGCATGCCAGTTGTGAGAAAATCTTCAGGCCTGAGCTGAGGAAACACAGCTCTCTCATCTTGCTGATGCTTTACCCTCACCAGTATGGCTGTCCCGTGACTAGCTGTCCAAGTCGTTACTGTGAGCCTCTGTCCAACCCCACAGACGTTTCTTGTAGATTAATTAAATAAAGGAGTCCCTGTGCCCTTAACTAATCTTCGTCCACTTTAAAGACAAACTAAATCAGGTTGCCTGGACTGCGGTGCGCCAAGGATGAACTCCTCAATCAAGGATGGTGACCAAGTGCTCGGGGATCAGAGGGGGACAGGAGGGGGGATCAGAGGGGGACCAGAGGGGGGGTCAGAGGAGTGTAGATTACCAGTTGATCTCTCTGAGCCGGTCTTTGCTGCTCTGCCAGGAACGCTTGTCGCTCCCAGTTCTAAATGCTGTAGCTACAATATCAAGTCTCGTAACAAAATGAGTCAATAAATAAACACTTTATTGATGCACAAGTTAAAATCTGGAGGGGAAGCGCTGCTCAAAGCTCTTTTCCATTTCAGGAACTAGACTATTTCTGAGTGATAAAATAAAGTCTAGTTGCAGCTAGCAGTTTTGAAGGAGACGGGATAGATAGGAGACAGGGTAGGGCAGGGTAAGAAGGGAGACATGATGTGATTAGACCGGAAAGCCTGCACAGGCATGTGGGCCCATGTGTGCGCACATGCACACATGCCACCCTCACACACAGACAGAGACGATGAATAAAGTGCACGCCGTGACCCCCTCTGCCACTGGCTCACTCCCACATCGACTCTTGAATCGTGAGATACCCACCTCAATGTTTCGCTTAATAAAATCCTGGCTGAGTTTGCTCCTGAGCTCAATCCTTTCTGTGTTTGAAAAAGGTTTCTTTTCTGTTTCGATCAATGTCTCATTTTTTCCCACATCACAGGTAAGATCTAGTATTGAAAAAGTTCAAAGTGATCTCATTATTGCAATTGTGAATCATACTCAAAGTTCATTATACGTCAAAATATATTTTAAAAACACACATAGAAGAAATAATTTTTGAATTCATGACCCAGAAACATAATATGGACTTTTTCTTTGTTTTAGATTTATTTTTTCCCTGTGCTCCTTAGCCAGATTTCTATCAGTGGCAGCCTACTTTTAAAATATTTTTAATTAAAATACAATTATATAATTTCCCTCTCTCTCTTTCCTACCTCGAACCC